AGCATAGGTCTCATACTCGCGATGCTTTCAAAGAAAAGCATAAACTTACTGCGCGGTATGTTCTTCTGCAACCGTCGATTTCCGAATGGATTCCGTTGGCGGTCGAGTGACTCTCTGACTTCGCAGAATATCGGCACGCGAATCGCGAAACGTTTTCCGGATCGTCTTTTGGGGAATCGCTGAAAACGGGGGAAAAATGTTAAAGAAAATCATGAAATAAACGGAAAGTGATCCTTCTCCTGTGTTCTATGTTGAGTTTGTAATTCTAGTCATTTCCGCGCACCCGTTCCTATCTCAGAGTTGGTTCATTTTACCTGATTTTGCTGGTAGCTGGTGGATGATCTGACCTGATCATGGAATTACGAGAATTGTGTGATTTCCGCGCTATTTTCTACAGTCCCGAAATGCATTTAAATATTAATTTTTTTATTTTTCGAAATTGGGGAACTGCATCTGTTGGAATTTATGTATGATTTCCCTAAGGTGTCTGCGAATCTAATAGACCCATTGTACCATAGCAGCATTGCAAGCATGTGCATGCAATTGATTCATAACAAATATTTTCATAATCATCATAAATCGAGTGACCCTCTCTTCGGCAAGGTCGTCTTTTTTAATCATTCGTTCCAAGTCAGGTAGTCCGTTGAAATTTAAAAAGATAAATTTAATACAGACACTGCTTTGTAGTCCCTAGGTTTACCCGGAAGTAAAGCGTGGGCACTATGAAATTTGAATTGCCCGCGGAATCAAAATCTTCTTCGGAAATATTTTCTCCAAGTGTTTGGTGGTTGTATGTGTTTATTTCTACGTGCAAGTTTTCGTTTGGGTAAAAAATAAATTTGTGTTCGAATGTATCACCGTGATTTGTAAGCAAAGATGATTCGTCGTCTGAGACGACAGATGCAGCTTTGGTAGCTCGGGATGGTCGATTTGAGTCGGCATTCCGTATGCTCGCGATCCTCAAAGCGCGTTCTCGTATGATCCGAGACAGAGGGTCGGGATCGGCGAAAAACTGGACGTCTGCTAGGCAAATTGGCAAAATTGCTGGCAGCGCCAGCATGACGAAACGAAGTCCTCTCAATTCCATTTCCCTGCAAAAAAAAAGGAAAAAAAATAAATAAATCGTCACGGGAGTGCTAAGGTATTCCTGCGAAATTCAAATTTATTTTACGGACGTTCCTGTTGATGGTCTTTTGTTCAAGGATAAGAAAGAAGATGAGTCATCGCAAATGTTGAAGCCGAGTGAGAAATTAATACTCATGCTGTTTTGGAACACGCGAAAAATGCGGTGAAGTTCACAAAAGATAACTCCTTGGATGCAGAATGCTTCTTCAGTTTTTTTTTTTAAATCTTCGCATCATATATATTCTTCTTTGCTAAGAAAGGGAAAATCCTGCTATTGAAGGCATGGAATCATTTCTCGTTTGTGTGTGACGGACGCTTCAGGGGAACAGATCAGTATTTCGTCGCAGATTTCATTCGAACTTGAAACTTGTCATGGTAATGCAAATTTTCAGTCAACATTTCATTACAGTACCTCTGAGAATTTTTCCGTGGTCGCACCGCGTCATTCTCGAAACGGTAGGTTTTTACGATTTCTCCTCTGGTTAGAAATTTTTAGTGAATATTCCGAATTTTTACTTTTACAGTATCACATATGCTGCCAGTGCGTCTAGATGTCGCTGTGAGTGGCAGCAGCATTTGTGTTGTATTTGTGAGTTGGATCAATTTCATCTGACTTCGGGATAATCCTGTTCTCGTGAACTTTGCTAAAAGACGGTAGCATCGGTGATCCGACTGGATTCTCGGTGATAATCTAAGAAAATGTTGTGGGCTTAAGTTTTCGTGGCATTTTTCCAGATTCAAGCAATTCTTCCTGAGTACCTGCTCATTTTTGCATAGTAACGTATGTAAGACTTTTATGTCTTGAGGTGTATGGTGAATGTGTGGCATGTAAACGCAGTCCGAGGAACGGCATTCTTTTTTAAAAGCGTAAAAGAATAGTACAATATTTTGTAATCATGTATAATACAACTGAGAAAATGCTCGAATGACACGCTTTAATGTCGTCTACAGTGAACATAATTACTCGTTTGCGGTCGAAGACTGTCCCCGAATTTTTTTCTTCTGCCATGTCCCAAGAACTGCCGTCGAGATTGCCCTTGGCACCGGAAGGTCAGCATTCGTGTGCGCGGGCGTCGATATGATTGATTACGATTTTATTGATTGCCACCGCGGATTCGGTGACGCTTTATAGCCTCGTTAGGTGCCCCGAAGAAATGGGTTATTATCATTGTTATCGCGATCTTTTCCTTTTTTTGCGTCGAAGGCTGTGTCACTTCCATTGTGGCGAACATGGACCGAGTCTTCGACGTGGCCGTGAGGCTATTTATCCCCATCGGTGGCTGAAATTGCCTTCCCAGGGTACTTTATTGCATTGCTAACTGGATTTGACTTGCCATGTTTGGCTGCATTTAATGGAATAGCGAAGTGCCTCATGTGCTTGCAATTACGCGCTCAATAACTCGGGGTTGTATAGTTTTCTTGGTGCTGGTTTTTTTTTGTGTGCCTCGAAAGGTACTATTGAGAATGCGTTGGATTTGAGTGGCAATTTCCAATGTGCGACTCCTGGAATAGTTGGGTCTTTGTTTTAAGAATATTTGATTTAAATTAAATATCTACACGGAGGACAATCTGGAAGTTGGGCAATTTTTTTGGAGTTCAAAACCATGCACACGAAGCGGATTTATTGAATAATTTGCTAGGCATCGGACAGGCGTACGAGACTAGTTGGTAGAAATTAATTCAAAAATATGTCTCCACTGAAGAAATTCTCCCTCTGGGAAATCTGTCGCTTCAAAACATCGAGAAAATATAAATTTGGACATAAGAAAAAGATTAATTTGACGCTTCATTGAAGAGGATTCATGAAAATTTTCGATAATGCTACACAGTGATGTTAGTCTTTCCTCAATAACGGCATTTGTTTGCTCTCTACCGTGAATTTTATACTGTAGTTCAAATGCCCCCCGAACTTCATCGTATTCAATATTTTTCGTTGATCATCTCATCAAACGGAAGGATCATCGTATAGTCATTGTTAATTTGCATTTTTTATGCGACAAAAAAGGGTAGATATGATCGGAACTGGTGAGTATTTTTTTATGATTCGCAAGATTTGAGAGTTGGAAGCCTTGTAACGATTAGGCAGCTATATCTTGGGATAGTAAGAGGTACGGAAACTACACGACATGGGGGACGAGGACAGCTACTTTTTCCTTTGATTTTGATGGAATCGATAGTCATCTCGAGTACTTTTTTTTTCACCCACACGTGTTCTCGAAATATCCTTGTCCTTGTAATTTTTTGGCCAACCGGTTTAATAGAAGATTTTTGTTGGATAATCGCTTTTGTTCCGAATAAAAATACTCCTGATTTTAATAATACTCAGTTAAGTTAGAGCCTTTAATCGGCAGTCCGTTTTGTGTATTGATATGCGGGATGAAGTTTCTTGTTCCTTTTTTATTTTTCAGTTGCGTGACTCCTAAACATTTTCAGACCTTTTATTCCTGCTCACGAACAACCTGCAATATTGTAATTGGAAACACGATTCATAGCTGTTTCTATTTTTGAGTGCACCTTGAGGGTGATAATGAATCGATTGAAGAAGTTGTCCTTGTTTTATGAGTCGATTGAGTTGGGAAAACTCTTTGGATTGTATCTTGATAAAGTATCACTGTGCTATCCTTTTTTTTACCGTATTTTTCTGTCGAGTCTAGCATCCAAGGAAATTCTAGAGCCGACAAGGAATTCCCACAAGAGTCTTAATTACTGATTTGTAATGCACTTGGTCGTAGTGCAAGATTTTCGTGGCCATTCCTTGGATTTACTCCAGATTCTTGAAACTGCAGCATTTAATTATTAGGTCGAGGTTACTTTTTTCATATATTTTTTTAGCCATTTTTAACGTGTATCAAAGTATGCCCATTTTTTCAAGGAACAAGATCTCGTGTGCTTTGTTGCATGAAAATTGTTCTGAGTTGGTAGCCCTTCATAGGATACGAGGATTCGAAAAATGAAAGTCCATGTTGATGTGTATTATTCATTAATAATGAGTATCAGACAATTGTTGTTGCGTATTGCGTGGACACTTCTGATTGGTTAAAAGAAAAATTGTATTCAATTATCCGATGATTGAAAGAGGTGATTGCCGGTCTTGTAGAAAATTATGTCATGGAATGGAAAGGAAAGGAGAGTCGTATGCCGATTGTGGTTATTCCGTTCCCAAGTCTTCAAACAGCTGAAAGTTGAATCTCGTTCACTCAAACCTCTACAAGTCGAATACCTTGCTGTATAAAATTTATTTTAAATCCCTGTCTGAATTCTATCAGAAACAATTCATTAAAAATGTTTCCCTTCAATTTCAGCATCCAGTCCACTCCGTTGGAAAGCAATTTTAGGGCCCCGAATATCATCCATTCGAATCGCCTGCAATTCTTCTCCTCCCCCCCCCCCCCCCCCCCCCCCCCGACAAAAAATGCTCGTTTCCGTAACTCGAAACCTCCCTAACGCGAATTTTTTTTCGCTGGGCCCTCCTCGAAATTCCACTTGAAAAAGTACGACTGAATTTGCAAGCCGTTTTTTTGCGGGGATATTCGATGTGAGATTACTCTTGATATTCAAGAACTTGAAAAAATCGACGGGGTCTGAAACGATTTTTGACGGATATCAAACTGAGAAACTCGAGGGATTTTTCAATAACCATCAAAAACAAAACGAAATTCGTAGGAAAATTACGCAGACAAATAAAGGTCCTGATAATGTTACATACATTTTTTTTTTAGACGGATGAATTAATAGGATCGTAAAATTTTTTATGGAAGGCGTTCGGAAATGGGACAGGAATGCTACCCCGGATTAGTTCGCTTTCTCCTTGCCATCCCTTGCTAATTATTTAGCTCTTTAAATTATTGGATGACTGAAGCGTTACTCAAGTCAAGAGCTGCGATCTGAAATTTCTATGCTGTATCATGAAAGTATTCCTGCTAAGGCTGCTTTTGTATGAAAATCTGGCGAAACCTGGTTTCCGTTGTGATAAATGTCCATCGTAGTTCAAACCCCGCACTCGTGAACTGGTCGACTTTTTGTTGATCCAACGTTTGATTTATTTCAAGTCTGTAAATACAGTATTTTAGTGCAGTTCATTCGTTGTAACAAAGAAGTAAATATTACCCGTGATTGGAAAAGTGTGTTCTTCGAATTCACGCGTGGTTGCAGTGACAGAGCGAACCCGCTGTTTGTCGGCACGCCAGCAAATGAGTCGCAAATGCGAATCACGTCGAAGTGCGTGCATGTGTGACGCTGATGGAAATGTAACACGTGAAAATGAGGAGTTCATTATCCCAGCTTTCGCCCGCGTGTACGTTAATTAAGTCTCGAAAGACGGACGCCATTGCGCGAAAAAAAGGGTATTATTTTTTCGATGTGGAGCCTTTTCGGAAGTTCGTCAAGTAGGACGAGGCAAAGTGAACGTTTTTTGGTCGTAAAATAAACGCGAAACTCGATTCGAAGGAGGGATTCCTTACGCAAGGACTAGATTTTTCTGCTTCTGAGGGTTTTTCCTTGTATTTTTTTTTTATTGTTTCCATCAGCGGAATTTTAGTTCGCGTGGAATTAACCGGCCGAGTATCATTGGAAACAATTAACTCACGGTCGGATTGACGAGGAATTTTTACTCTGGCGTGGTTTCGTGGCTGTGAAGCAACTCTCGTTATGCGTGTCTTCTCTTGTCTTTATCCCCAACGACCCTTTCTGAGTTGTGAAGTTTCTGTCAGGATTGAAGAAACACTCGTCGTGTAAATTTCTGGATTTTTGTATATTGTAATTCGTTGAAATAAGCTCCATCTATTCATACAAGCCGTCACACCGCAAGGGCTGTATTCAATTTTCCAGATCGCGAAGTCTAATGGAAAATCGCGAACGAAATTTGGAGCGATGAATCAAGGAAGATTGTGTCTGAAGATTTAAATCCGAGATATTAAATTCGTTGAAATTTGTTTTTTTTTTCGTGTCTCGGAATCAAGATGTCAGTGTTTGGACTTCGATGATTGGTCTGTTTCCACATAAAGTGAGTTGAAGCAAATATCCAGCTTTTTGTTGTCCTGGAAGCTCATTTTTCTCTATATTTTTTTCCCTTCCACATTCTTCCCCGCTCAAATTTTATAATCGGGGAATATCTTCGTAGAGGAGCTACGTAGGCATTGAAGAATTTTTGCTGGAATTTTGAGTAGATTCGTTGAATGGATGATGTTGATTTGGAAAAATTCGTTATATACATATGCTATTTTGTAAAACTTGATTCAGTCCGTTTTAATTGTGAAGGATCGACACGAAATATGGAAGAAAAGGATCACCCCACATTCAGGCGCGGACGGATTATGAAAAGGAGAATAATCTAGGAAAGTACTAACTGTTCTCTGATTTTTATGATGAAACTTCGATCTTCATGCAGTTTTTTTAATTCTGCAAGTTGATTAAAACTCGATTTTTAGTTGATTTTGAAATTTAAAGA